TGAAAAACAAGTTCTGATTTAAAAGGTTTTTTTTTTGGTTGTCCTCGCTATTCCTCACAGTGTCAAATGATCTAAAATGTAAGACTAGAGGCTAAATGTATAGTAAAAGAAAACTCCATGGTCTTAAGGAAAGCAAGGTCCGTGTTTTTGATCGTGGCTGAGGACTACTGCAAACTGTAGAAGGAAAAGTCTGTTGCTTTCTGTTACATGTCTAGTCATTTCTTCCTGTCCTATCAGGTTTTTACTTGCCTAGTCATGTAGTGAGCTTGAGTTTAGAGGGAAATGACTAGAAAGAGGACTGGCCTCAAGAACTGGAGACAATCTGGATTCATACTCAGAGGTATCTGGTGGGAATTTAAGAACTGCACTTAAGGAGGACTTGTTCTTTGTCATACAAGTTTTCTCAGGGTGATGTGGACCTGTAATCATTGCTGAGCAAGGCTGGTTATGTGCCTTCAGCGAGTGCTCACCTTCTCTGGGTACCAACCTGAATGGTGTTAGGCACTGCAGGAGGGGTGTACTGGATTCTGCCTATTTTGTAGCTGTTATAAAAGGTGTAAGTGCACTCAAAAATGTGTGACTTTGCAGGATGGACTGCAAAATAGAGGTGGAGAGCTGCTTTGCTGCTTTCAGAGCCCATCAGGATCCCTTGTCAGCACAGAAACATCTTGAACATCTGGAGTGAAGTCAGGCTCTTGGTCCTTGTTGCTAATTTATGGGCTTATAAGACAGGCAAGTTCTTGGGTTTCTTTTTTTTTTTCTTTTTTTCTTTTTTTTTTTCTCATTGAAGGCATTCTGAGACAGCACAGTCCTGGCTATGTACATGGCTAGGTACTATATAGAGAAGTAGTAAGTTGGAGTCTGCTTGGAAACCTTATGGTCTAGTTAGAGCTAACAGACAACGATTGAGGGAAAGGAAGAATTGTTCTTCCCTGACTTTGTTATTAGCTGACCTGATTCCATGATAGAAAACCTCAGTTTCTTCACACTTAAAAGAACAGTGACCTCAGGGAAGTCACAGAGTCTGATCTTCCATGCTGATGCTTGCTGTCATGGCAGTGACTACCTGCAAGGCTGCACAGAATTGCACCAGGCTCACATTGCTGTCCCAGCACCCACAGGCTGCTGGTGCTTTCAGAGTGCTCACCAAGCTTCCACTGCTCTCAGCCTGCTGTTTAGTTTCAGTCTCACTTTTTTTCACCAGTGAAGAGCCCCTAACCTCTATTAAACGTTTACCCCTCCTATGCAGCTTTGCAGGAGTATGCAATAGCATAGGTTGTTCTTTTCCAAGTCTGGGAGCTTTTATCAACCAGCCAGAACAGGGTTATTTTAGTGTGCATGGGTTGGTATGTAAGTGCAAAGCCTGTGTGTATGCCAGCAGTGTCATGGGCACGCCTGTCCCAAACATCTGGGCTTTCACCTGGGCTCTGGACTGAAGGGCTGTGTGTTTTCCACAGTGTGCTGACAACTGTATTCTGTATTTCCAGTTGTGCTGCCTTCACTATGATTTGCCTTCCTTGTCCAGCAGTTGTTCATGTCTGCTCCTTGCTTTCTTTTTCCCAGCATCTTTAAAATCTGCACATATGCTGATGATTTTGTGTCATTAATATCAATCTAGACAAGTCTGTGTGACCTTTAACTCCCCTGTCCAAAGGGAAGAATTGACCCTTGCAGTCAGTCACAGCACAGCACTGACTCATACATACTTTTCATAAAAATAATGAGGAAATTCCCCATAGTTTTTACAGATACTTTTTCAGGAGTTGAAGTGGAAGTCTTCCATAACAACACAGTTTGGGAAAACTATGAAGCATGTAACAGATAATTAATCTTTTTTCTGACATATGATACACTTTATAATAGTCATATTTTTTCTCTTCTTGTATCTCACTTGCTCAAACTCAATGGATCTGTTTGAGTTTCATTTGAGCTCATGTGCTTTCCAGTCTTATTCCCACCCTTGTGTGTTCTCCAGCTCCATTGTGAACTTTCCTGGGGGAGGCTGGGATTTGTCCCACCTCCCTGACTGCCCAATGATGAACACAATAGGACCGTGCTTTCCCTTTTTTGCCTTGATTTTAATATATTTTCTGCTTTTTCCTGCTAAGATAAAACATGCTGTGTTTAGATACATAGCACAAAAAAAAAAAAGAAAAAATATCTCTAAGTTTGAAGTTCTCTATAAAAAATTAACTGAAGTTTGGAATGAATCAGAATCCGTCCAATAAAGACTAATAGTAAAACAAAACGACTAGGCATCCAAAAATAATTTCAGGGAAGCTGTTTAGCACTGACATATGAGTGTCATAAGAAAATACCATTTCTTTACTTTCCTATATTTGATTATTTGTCACTTAAAACAAAAAATTCCATTTATAATTAAGGCCAAGGCAATTCCTCAAGGTCTCAGTATCGGAATATCTTTCCAATGAATACTTAGAGAACTGCATTTTTTTGATCGTGCTTGCTGTAGTGGAGCCAGGGCAAGCGTTCTTAAAATATGGAGATGACTGAATACTTCTAAATCGTTATTTTTCTTTAAGGCAAAAATTGCATATTTAAAATCTTTAAAATAAATGTAATGAAACAGCTACACTGCTAGATTTTGTCAAGAGTGAATTTGACCCATTAGCTTGGTTGCTTCTCTGCCATTAGAATCTCAACCTCCCTTTTCTCCCTCTTAGAAAAATCTGAAATTTACTCTACTTGATAGTGTGATTCAAAGCCAAATATTTTGCATTTGAAGACTTATAGTTCTTTTCAGTCTTAGAGCAAGGTGGAAACTGAAGCAATCTCCAGTAAGATCCTATATCTGGGTTGCTGAGATGTATTTTGTTAATATGGATGCTTTGTGGTGTGCATATTCTAATGACTGAAATGATTTTTGGCATATGGAAGACTTATGCAGTCATGGCAGTTTTTTGTCACACAGCTATGCTTTTCTTTCCAGTAAACTCCTTAGAATTAGAGAGCATCCCTGGTTTAATATAGAAGGAATCTGACATAGCTCTGAGGAAGCTCAAGTGTTTGTGGAAAGAGCTGTTAATCTTTGATCAACTGGGGTCTCCTTGTTACTGACTTTGATTACACAAGTGTACAACTTTAATTACAGCTTTTAATAAGATTTCATTTCTTCCTAGTCACATTCTTTGTATAGTAGAGCAGCTTATCTTTTCCTTTCTCCCCTGTTCCCCTTCCCTTCCCCCTTGCCTTTTTATGGAAAAGGGCGTTTGAGGTCATTGCCGGGGATTCAGTGTCCAGAGGGATCCTGCTGTACACACTCTCCCCATGACTTTACCCTCCACTCTCACAGTCCAGAGAACTCTCTCCTTCAGCTGCCCTCCAAATATCCCTGCACTTGCAGCTGCCCAGGAGCTGGTGGTCAGCAGGGGAAGACAGGTCTGAGAGGCACCATGTTCACACAGACATTCACTGCTGCACAAAACCTCTGAAAAACCCTTAGGAAGTCTCTGTAGCCAAAGGATGTTCTGATCTCTCCATCATGGATAAGCTGAGACTTGGGTAAATTAAGTTGTGATCATCAGAATTGAGAAGGGGCAACTGGAGGCGCCTCCCTTGGTATTTGCTGTATTTGTGCTTTTCCCTAAGCCTCTGCTTTTGGCCCCTGTCAGTGATAGGATATTGGTCCAGTGTAGCCAAGACAAAAAGAGTTTGACTCCCATGTGAAGCACGAGATAAAACTGAGGAGTCACTTAAAAGGTGTGAGTCACAAAAAATATGCAGTTGGTAAAACAGAGCAATTTGCACCGATTTGACATTCATAGGTGTGCAAAATTTTAACATGCCAGTTGTGCCTACGGAAGAGGATGGTGGGGAAAACAATTCATAGGACAGCAAAGGGAGCTCCTTTTATCTCTGTACATGCATCCCTTTGGCTCACTTGCTGTATGTGCTATACTCTTTTTGCACACTAATGAATATCAGAGTCAGAGCAAGTTATGCCATCTATCACTCTGCTCCTGTTTTCTAATGAACTTACCCCTAACAGGTAGCTTTCCTAGCTATGTGTGTCATGAGTGAATTTCACCTTGACAATAGATCAAGAATGAGGTTCAGCAGAGTGGCCCACCTACTTTGCAATGCTCCAGCATGACAGCTGCTTTGTGTCCTCAGGGTAGCTTTACTTTGATGCTTTTCCCTGTTTAGAAAAATTTGGAGGGAGGATTTTGGTAATCTCCAGCAGGCAGAATTTTTAAACCTATCTCAAGGGAAGATGAAGATTCTACAGAATTTTTGAACAAACAGTTATTTATGAAGTAAGTGACATTGTCTTTAGAACTGTAATTCCCACTGAGCTCCAGAGAAAAGCAGCATTTGCCATGCTGGATCTGACTGGTTGCTGCTGTAGCCTGCTGCTCCTGGCACCTCAGGCTTCACTGTGGAAAACTCTGGAAGGCTTGTGACAAAACCTCTAGTCTGACCATTGCAGATATGGCTCTAGTTATTAAGGGGTGTGTTTTCATGCCTCAGAAGCACACAATAAGAGAACTATGGTCTTTGCTTTTATGGGCTCTTTGACACCAGAAATGCTGGAGTGAAGTTCTTCTAAACTTGGCTGCCTTTCTGGTTGCCTAAAACATACTGCAGTAGTGGCTGTAACATGGGATTGAAATGACTGGTTTGCTGAATTGGCTGGACAAACTACAAGGGAAGAGAAACAATCAAATGAGTTCACCATGGTGTACATGGGCCTGACCCCGGGTCATGGGCCAGTGTGATTGCATCATTTGCTCATTCAGTAGCCACGCTGCTACTGAAAAGATCTGTGTCCGGTTCCTGACAGCCTGGTCTTTTGATGAATTTGACATCACTTTCTGCATGATTTGCTTCATCAGTGTCTCGTGTCACCAACATTTGCATCTGTCGACGCAAAGTTTGCTGTTTGTCCATTTTCAAACCAACCTCACGTCCCCTTTTCCTACTCTTGTTGGAGGGGACAGCGCAGTCATTCTCACTGTCTGCCCTGTGTCTTTCGGCAGACTCGGGGACCAGTTCTACAAAGAAGCGATTGAGCACTGTCGCAGCTACAACTCCCGGCTCTGTGCCGAGCGAAGCGTCCGCCTTCCCTTCCTGGATTCGCAGACTGGGGTAGCCCAGAACAACTGCTACATCTGGATGGAGAAGAGGCACAGGGGACCAGGTTGGTAGTGCCGTGTCTGTGTATGCGTGTGCATGTACGGAGGGCTGGCCACTGAGCCCTCGTGGGGTTTAATTAATAGGAGCTCAAACCTGCTACAGGCCACACAGAAGAGAAACTGCCTAAACCTCTGTGCCTGCAGGGGATTTCCTTTGGTAACTGCAGAGAGCTCATGCTAATTACTCTCTCGCTAAGCAAAGAAGTGCCTGACATTGTAATTTCTACGGCTGCATCGTTGTAGCTCTTTTCATGCTACCATTCCCAGTCTGTAGCAGAAGACTCAATGCTCTGCTCTTAGCAGGACTGGAGTTAACTCCAAGGGGGAGGTGGGAGTGTCACATATGAGTGATGGAAATAAGCAACTATATTAGGAAGGATATAAAACTGAAGTAAAATACAAGAGTCCAGTTAATGGAATGAATGTTGTTCTAATGGTTAGAAATATACCTATAAATCCTGGTTCTGTTTTGGCTAGGCTAACTTGGATATCAGTTCTGGAGCTGCAGTTCCCTTGGGTACAGAAAGAAGTTGGTGTATTTCCTTAAGGAGCTTTGGCTAATGCCTTTTCCACAGCTCACTGAAGCTCAAGGGAAAAGAGCACTGTTATTTTTGTAGACTTTGGTCAGTTGTTCCTTTGTTATATTAAATCCATCTGAAATCCTTTATTGAAAGGCAAGGAACAGTCACCAGTTCAAAGACTGGAGATGTTGCTCAGACAGAAGTCCTTCTGAACCCCAAGGGGAGTTTGGTTAGGTTGTAGCTCAGTATCTGACCAATAATTAGCTCAGGGAACAGATTTTTGACAGCACCAAAATGAATTTCTACCTTTTTTTTTTTCCTCTTTAGTGCAGCCTAGAGAATCCAGGCAGGAAGGGATATGGGGTACATGGGCACTGGAAGTATGACATGCACACATGTGCATAAATATGTGCCAGTTCTCTAAACAATACTGACACCCTCCCACCTTCACTCTCCAGCCCCTCAGATTCTAGATCTGAAATTATGGGAAGGTGAAGCCTGCTCTAATCTTGTCCACTGTCTGGTTTACAGGAGATGAAGTGGGAGGAACACATAGGATATTCCTTTAACCTCCTGAGCTGAGAAAACAATTGCTGCTTCTGAAAAGTGCTTAGATAAGTCTTAAGTGAAACTTTCTTTCTCTCTTTTCTAGGCTATACTATAGGAAAGATTCTTGTGCTCCACCTATTACTAAAATATCAAAAGTGGATTTAGTGTTGTCTTGCAATACTGTCAGAAAACTGTTTATACAATAAAATGCAACCATTTCTGGTTCAGGAGACAACAGTTGTTTTTACAGTGTTAAAATACTCAAAGAATATTTCAGCTACCAAAACTGCTGGAGTAATTCAGGACTACCACTACATGTGGTTCACAAGATGGGAGTTTTCTAAACTTCTGGACTAACCCTTCTTTTGTAGGGTTGCTTCATAACCACAGTCGATTTTTTTGTTTCAGCTGAAAATTCTCTAATCATAAGAGATTATGCTTTGGATAAACTAGCTTTCTCTCTCTCTCTCTCTCTCTCTCTCTCTCTCTCTTGCTCTCTCTTTCTTTCTCTCTCTCTCTTTCTCTCTTTCTCCTCCTTCTCCTCTTGTTATGAGTAAGGTGCTGCTATTTTTATCCTTCTGAACACAGTCAGAAGATATAAATATATGTACACAGCTGTACATCCACTGTATTCACAAGTAAGGTTTTGTCAACAGCATCTTCTGCAAAGACAGACATAGATAGTCTTGTCTGAGTCTCATTGGCATCTGTACAGGTGCAGAAGGAATCATCATAACTGTGTTACAGCATCACATCAGGAACCAAGCTGTCTTTCTCAGCCACAAGCTTTGTGGACTACCTTGAGCAAATTCATTCTGCAAATCTTCTGTTCCTCACTTCCGACAGGGAACTTCTGATAGTTTGGCAGCTTGCCCTGCAGAAGGGGATAGGTGACATTTCTCCTGCAGGTCTGCACTGGAGGCTAATGGTAGAACATTCTTCACAGAGAGTATTAAGTGAAAGAAGCCTCCTACATCTGCATTGGCCACCAAATATGATGACTTTGTTATTTTGAATTAGAATAATCAGTGTGAAATGAACCAGCCCTCCTCCTCCATATTTGTTTTCCTTTTCTTGATTTTTATTAGCCCATGTAGTGCTTCCCTGAGTATCTTTGCATAATCTATTTCTTGTAGTATTCTGGTGAGTCAAGGCATTCCTCTACAGTTTTAGCATGCTTGGTTTTGGTCTGTACACACTGTGCTAGTGCCCATGCTAAAAGGCTCTGAAAATTCTCTGCCAGCCATTCTGGTATCTGTCTTGTGTGCTGTGCTCACTACCATTTACTATCCCTAACCTGAAAAACTAGATAAAGACAAATGGCAAAGCTCCAGGACCTCTTTTCACTTACATAGACTTGAAAAACAGAGAAGAGTCAGGAGCTCAGCATATTAACCTGAGTTCTTGCTGTCCTCTTTGTTAAAGGAGTCAGAAATCTGCATCTCATGATAAACAGTTCAGGGTTAATTTCACACAATACTGCACATAACTCCCTCCTTTTCCCCTCCTCCCCTGGCCTTTCACACGAGCTTTGAGTTATTACTCTCCTACACTAATGAGATAAACAACATAACTCACTGCAGGTTCTGCTATTTCCTCTGTAAGCAAATGGTTGGAACCTTCTCTGGTTGCCCTATAAGGTACCAGAGAGAGAGACAACCCATGGAGGGCTGAAGACAATAATATGCATTATTTCCATATTCACTGCAAGGCTGCCTGTGAAGGAGCTACATTCAGAGCACTCAGAACTGACCCTTCCCTTGTTGCCTCTCCTTTGTAAAAGATCTATGCTTCATGTGAGCCAGCACAGAGACAGATGAGTACAGGGTAGAGAAATGAAGGTAGCATTGGTGGGTTGAATGAAGTGCAAATCTGGTGTGTGTTTTAAGTTCATTGGATGGCAGTATATTAATGAACAGGTGTATTGTGAGTAGGAACAGAGAGCTTACCTGAAGTGTTGCAGGGGTGGATGTTGGATCATCCATTTCTTATTGATCTGTGTATCACCCTCTAAGGAAGAGCCTTTCCCAGCTCTCTTGTTTCAAGTTTCTAGTTGGGCTTTCAGCATGTGTAGTTGGCTTTTGCTGTCCTGACTGAATCCAGAACTGCTCTTTCATGCTCTTTCATATTCCCCCAAACTAGATCATCTTTGCTCCTCTCTGGAGGTCTGGAACAAAAGCTCCTCTCTGTCTGGTACTTATTCCTTCAAAGGGCTCCTCTGTGGAGACGTGCAATGGAGGGCTGTCCTATTGCTTTGATCTGGCAATTGCCATTCCAGTGTTGTCTTCAAGTCCTTGCACAGGACCTGGTGAGAAAGGGTGGGGCTTCTTGCCTCCACCTCTTTAATTACTCACATCAGAGCCAGGCACAATCCACCTCATCATTATAGCAATTGTTTACAGTGGTTAATGTTTGCAAAGTGGCATGAGAAAGGGTGTCCAAACGTTGTATAAGTGCTAGTTATTCACATTTTTATTTCCAAACTGGTCTTAGGCAACCTGTTCTAAAATGTGTTCTTCTTGGGATGTGCACAATGCCCAGATTTCTGGGTATCAGTGAAAGAAGGGCATGAAAACTCCAAGCCCAATAGCATTCTGTGCCCTGACACAGCCAGAATCTCTGCAGATACTCCAACACTTGGCCATACTCAGGCAGTATGCCATAGATGCACCAAGGCCTTGGAAGTAGGTGGAAGGGTCTGAATTGGCATTCCTAACAGCTGAAATATTTAAAACCAGGAACTTAGATCTCACCTGCAGAATTTGATTTGCACATTCCCCTCAAGGTGAATTATGTTATTGTGTCTTCCTCCCCACCCCCAAGTAAGAGGATATTAGTTTTTTCATTATCCTCATTTGGTCTGGTGAGTTGCTTTTGTTCCCCAGCTGATATTCTCTCCTGGCTGCTTCAGAAGAGAGGAGAGGACTCTTGGGCCATCCTCCTGCCCTTGAGCTGTTCTGCTTTACTGGCACCCCCTTGATGCTGTCCAGCTGTTCACTGTCAGTACAGCTTCAGATATAGCAACACCACTCCCGTTCTCTCTCTTTTATGTAGTCTTACCTGGTTTTTAAAGGACAATGAGTCTGGAATTGAAGTCATGCTTTGTAGCCCCTTCAAGACAACAGCAACAGCTGAAGGGCAGAGGAGCCAAACCAGAACTGGTGGACAGAGAGAGCAGGAAAAGCAGAGGAGAGAATTAAATTCCTCCAACTTTTCTTGCAGAGTATTTCTGTGTGTCATGACTGCCTGGGGCAGTTGAGGATACTTTGAAGCACTTGTCAGTGTGCTTCTGTGCCCCTAGAAGTGATGCATTCACAAAGCCCTGCTGTGTCCTGCAGAGAGATGCAAGAGAGCAAAGTCTAGCTCGAACATTGGCTGAAGGGTGTCTGTCAGGAGAGCCAGGGCAGCTCAAAAACCAGTGATGCCAAATGTGATTTAAGGGAACATGCAATGATATAAACATTATCCCTCATTCAGAATATTGGTATGAGGAGGTAAGAGTCAAAATGAAGAATTAGTTTCAAACAAAAGTTCAGAATGTAAGCAAAAATACAGAGTCAGACCTATTGGATCTTGGTTTGTTCCTGTTTGGAAGACACAAATTTCCTGAGCTGCTCTGTGCATGAGCTGCTCTGTGCATCAGGGCCTCAAGATTCGCATGTCAGAACTTCATCTCTTCTCTCTCAAGGGGCTTTCTCTGCCCGTGGAGGAGGCATCACCCTTGTGACCCAGGAGACTCTGAAATTCTATTTACCCTGAAGAAATCACAAATTATTTATGTGCAGCTCTGGTTTCAGTGAGCTGAGTGAAGTGTCTAAGTGAGACCTAGATTCTCTGTAGGCCTGATCCCAAGAGGTGCTGAAGAGCCTCAGGAGCACTGGATGCCTTGAGTGTGTAGCTCTGCCTCATGATTTGCAGGATTGAATGCTCCAACAAGGAGATGCTGGAAGGGCAAGAACAAAGATGCTAGAGAGAGTTCTTGTGGTTAGCAAACTGAAATGTGATTAATTTTTTGTCTTTAATCTTCAGGCCTGGCCCCAGGTCAGCTCTACACATACCCAGCACGTTGCTGGCGCAAAAAAAGGCGTTTGCATCCCCCTGAGGATTCCAGGCTGAAGCTGCTGGAAATTAAACCTGGTAAGTATTTGTTTGCCTGCCTCTCCCGAGCTGCAGAGCAGCTGGCATACATGCAAACCTGGCATTTAGACCTTGGACTTTATCTTTGCTGCTTTCCAACCATTTCTCATTGCATCTGTTGCATCTTATGCGATTTGCTGTAACCATAACCACCAAACCCTCTGCATACAATTCATCCCTTACAAAAATGTGTACAACTTGTATTGAATGCAAGGGGAGCTGAATTTACCTTCTGTAGTGTTGAATCCTGGCTTCTATTAGCAAATTCACAAGGATGTAAAGAATCAATGTATTACTAACCTTTTCCTCAGTGCATTACTAACACAAAGTCTCACTGGCATCTGCTGTCTAATCTTTGTGAAAAAGACCACTGTCTTTGTGAAACAGTAAGTATAAGATGAGATTTTTCTTGGTGGGGCTGCTAACAAGGGGTATGACCAGATTATAAGCAAAAAATAATAAAAGTAGTGATCATATGCCACGTTTGTGTATTTCTGTCTGACTGCATGAGTACCTTTGTCCATTATTCTTTCATTCTTCTTGTCCTTGCTACTCTTCCACAATTAAACTATGTGAAGTGATGAGTCTGGATGCTGAATAAGTGACTGTAAAGCAGATGTGGAGGAGCTGCAGCTGTGTCAGGTAGAGCTTAGTGTTCTTCTTTCTTCCCTGCAGTTAGTAATAAAGGCTTGCTGTCTCTGGGGTCAGTTATTATGAGAAAGAGGGAACACATATACTCACAGCTGTATGTGGTTTTTAAGAGGTGAGACACTGTCAGTATAAAAAGTACAGGAGAAAACCCCCAAATGTAAATTAAGAATATTAAAAAAACCTGTTTGACAGAAGAAGGTGCCTGGGAACTGAGCTGTGCTCAGCAATACTGATGACTTTGCTTCTATGGAGTAGTTGGTGGAGAGAGAGAGGAAAGAACAACAGAGACAAGTTCTAAACCCATTAAAATCAGAGGCAAAATTCCTGTTATTTATGGTAGAAACAGTTTTTGAAAACTCCCTACCTTCAGCATAGGAGACATCAATGGACAGTTGGAAAAGAGGAAGAAATGCCTATAACCACTTATTTGGGGCTTAAAGCAAGGGCAAAATCTCAGCCAGAAAATAGAACTAGACCTCACAGCAGAGCTGCTTGGAAAGAGCTGATGAAATCAGTCATATACATTGATGAAAATGAGATTAGACTCTAGGAAGAGGATGATGTTGGCTCACAGAAATGCCTACCTTAGACTTTGTGATGATGCCAGTACTGCTGTGCCTTGGTAATTTTGTAAGGTAAAGCAGTAGGGTAGAGTCTGACTCTTTTTTGTTTGCATTACTCTTTGCTGTACTCACTGAATGCCAAATTAGTGCATCCTACATGCCACAGGGTATGAAAGGCAATTACCACAAAGTTATCAGATAAAGAGACCTCAGCATGTCTGTCTCTGTGTTGTTTTCCCTGCTATAAACATCTCCTCTGCATCTCAGGAGTGCTACTTTTGTTGCATTGCCGGTGGCAACCAAATAAGGCGAGTTATATCACTCTGCCATTTAAATCTATTTTCCAACCAATTTCTATCTAGTGATTAACTTTCCTTATCAGTTATACCACAAAACAATTTCACTCCATCTGTGCATATCCAGAATAGACTCACTAGCCAAAAGTGGGATTTTTCCCCTTCTCTGATCTGAAGATATAAAACCTATGGAAAACATTGGACCTCCATTTAAAGCATTTAAAGGTAGCTTTTGGAATTTGGGGAAAAGAGAGTATAATTTATTTTCAGCATGGACAACAGAAATACTGTGGGTTTTGGAGGGGAATACTGTTGTAAACCCTAATGCTGAGCCTAGGAAGCTACCTAACACTGACTTCTTCAGTCCTCAGTTAAACATCAAATGCCTGTGTGGGGCAAAGACGTGGAAATTGAAGATCTATTAAAAAGCACAGAGATGACAGCTGTTGGACATATAAAATAAATTTGAAAGAAATCTAATCTATGTGTTCCATAGTTTCAGTTCACCTAGGGCTTGGGCATTCTGTTCATTCCTTAGAGCTGTTCTCAGCAGCTAGAGAGTGCTAATGCTTGGTTAATATGCAAATAGCTGATTTTTATAGAGAGGCTGTGGAATTGTTGATATATTTTTATAGATGTTTATAATTGTTATATGGCATGTGCAAGCAATGCACTTTTACAACATCAAATTAGGGCTAAACCTTAGTTGTATTATGTTCACTGCATAGAAGTACTTCTTGTAAGACAACCACTGTAACAAACACAGAAAAGGATCTTTGCTCCAAAAGTTTCCATTCCAGCAGTCAATGGGATTGGCACCAGGGGTGTCAATACTTGCTTGGACTTCACCTGGGATTTCAGAGTGGCTTATTATACCAATAAGTTGTATTCATAAGTTCCTGTATTCAGGAGACACATAATTCAGGAGATACACAGACCTAGGATTTTTGTTTTACTAAGTCATAGCTAGTCATCAGCTGATCATTAAGTAGAATCAAACTATTGTGTGCCAGCACTTCAAGAGTACAATAAATGATTTAGTAATAGTACAGTATACTATTTTAGTTTCATAAACCAAAGTAGTTTTATAGTTTTAGGTTTATAGTATAACCTACTTTTGCAGGTTTATGTAGTGCATGACACAACTCAGTGAGTGAGAGTTTCACATTTGGTAATACCAAAATCTAATGAAGAAAATAATCATGCTCCAACAGTCTGCTGGTGTTTTGTAAAATGCAAGGTGCACTATAATGTTTTTCCTGGAGTGAGTTGATGTCTGCTTCTTAATAGAAGATGGTACTTTTGTTGTCCTGATCTGTTGTTTTTATTTAGTTTAAAGTGAAGGTTTTTGGTTTAAAGTATAGTTACAGGCAAAGTTGTAAAGGTGTGAACACTGGAATAGGAATTGCTGATGCAGCCTTTAAATGTCTATTTTCCTCTGCCACTATATTCAGAATTACATGCATGCATTGCCCCAGTAAAGTGGTTTGTTCAAGGGTCTAGCAGTGATCATGTTTGTGCTATTTCTAAGCATCCTCTATCCCATGCAGTAGCCTATCCAGTAGAAATGCAGGAGAAATAAAGTACTGCCATACTTAGTTATGATAGTGCCTTTACTGACAAAACAGTCAGTATTATGACCAGATCTTCAAGAAGATGGTCTTCATCTTTCATCTCTAAATTATATTCTTATCATCAAAATCAAGCATTATAGCTCAAGTGTAGCCTAGAGTTCATTGTTGCAGTGGGTATGAGCTGTTACTTGAGTCATTATAGTGTAGCAGTCAAGACTTCTATGAACGCTGGTACAGATTTGAAACAAATCCTGGGCCATGGGCACTATATTGGCACATTGCCAATACTGTGATTTCATAGATTCATAAAATACGAGACTGAAAGGGAGCTCAAGGATCATCTGGTCCAACCTTTTTGGCAAGAGCACGGTCTAGATAAGATATCTCAGCACCCAGTCCAACCCAATCTTAAAACTGTTCAGTGTTGGGGAATCTACCACTTCCCTGGGCAGATTATTCCAATGGCTGATTGTTCTCAATGTGAAGAATTTTCCTCTTGTGTCCAACTGGAATTTCCCCAGGAGTAACCTGTACCCATTTTCCCTCATATTATTCATGATACTCTGTAAAAAGGGTGTCTCCATCTTTGTAGCCACTCTTGAAATACCGGAACAGAGTGATAAAGTCTCCCCTAAGCCTCCTCTTCTCAAGTCTGAGCAAACCCAGTTCTCTCAGCCAGCCATATGACAGGTTTCCCAGGCCTTGGATCATCTTTGTAGCCCTTCCCTTGACCCCCTCCAGACTGTCCACATCTCTTTTGTATAGCAGGGACCAAAAATGAGCAGAGTATTTCAGGTGTAGCCTGACAAGCTCTGAATATGATAATTACTTATCTCTGCTGGTGATGCTCTTGGTGATGCAACCTAGAATTCTGTTGACTTTATTTTTTTTTGTCACAGCAGCACACTGTTCATTCATATTGAGCTCATGGTGCACCAGGACCCTGAGGTCCCTTTTCACAGAGCTGCTTCCCAGCCAGGCAGATCACAGCCTGCCCTGCACTCCTGGATTATGTTTTCCCAGATACATTTCCTAGTGCAGAGTTTTAAACTTACTAGATGTTGATACACATCTAATATTTGTGAAACTAGACTTCTGTTCAACCAGGTATGGGAAACCTGGTTCTCTGCAGAATGGAGCAGTGGTATTTGCATGGCACTTCAGCACAGAGCAGTGGGAGGGCTCTAAGCAGCTCATGCTGCCATACTCACTCAGCTGCCTGTTCTCTTGCCCAGTAAAAGAACAGAGCTGAGCTCCTGTGCATGAGAAGTCTGGGAATGGGTGAGGGATATGGTTGAGCTAGCTAGTCTGACTTGCAGTGTAGTGGAAGAAAAAGGAGAATTTTTAACTCTACCACCACTGTGAACTGCAGGTGCTATGAAGGAGAGCAGTAGGGTTCTGGCCCTTGTCAAAATCAGAGCAGTTGAAAAGAGGAGAGTTAGAAATGAGCAGGAGATCCTGGATTAGACCTAAGGCCCCTTGAAATAATAATTGATTCTTGTCCTATATACCTAGTGGTTTCGTGGTGCTGGGTAGTATCATGATTCTGTGCTGGGTCAGCTATCAGAATTGTGGAAGTGCTATTGCCTATAGTAAACCCTGCTGACAGGCAGGTATTACACGAGCTTTGCACTTATGCAGATGAGAACAGATACGGTGAGTGTGGCCAAAAACTCTGGTGGAGTTTAAATTGGTAATGTCCTACTTCAGTCTTACAAGATGGCTAAATATAGGTACACACATACATACCTACAGAGCTTTTATTTCATGTGGTGTGTAAGTCTAAAGAACATGACTGTAATGCTTTTGTGTCGATTTACTGATATCCTTTGGTTTTGGACTGAAAGCCCACAGTGAGGTTTCAGAGTGGGCAGCCTTCCCACCCACTTGGAGGGTATGGAATAGAGTTTGTTTAT